CAATGAAGAGTGGTGGATGTCCCGGAATAACATACTTTTGCAAAATTGCTACATGTCAAGGATCCGAGGAAAATTGGCCTTCTGAGCTGGGCAGTTATGGCAAGGATGCCTATGGTTTCCACAAAAGAAACACTCTAGTTTTAGAAGCCACTGCAGATGCTATGTTTTCTGTCAGGCTGCTGGAGGTATAATGGCATTTTATGGAAAGCAATAACTGGCACTTATAACTCAACACCTACCTATAAATCAATGGAAGAATGTTCTGCTAGATGCTTTACATTCAATGTGCACATTAATTTCAACAGTTACAAATGCTACACTTCATGAACGGTTGTTCAACTGTCGTTGCTGAACCTCCAGTGGCTATTCTGTTCCAACATGACTAACAACACCAGGAAAGTTTCTTCTGAGATGACATGTCAGACAATTGAAGAACGACCCTATTTTGGAGGAGGCAGAACTTATAGAAGCCAATCCTCGTTATGCGCACATTCATCTCCAAAAGAGCAAAGAAATAACAGAGTATGATTCCGAGATCTCTCACCCCACCCCTGGTCTTATTCATAACTACTCTTTAAATACAAGACACTGACTTACCCACTCAAAACTGACACCTTAGATCTTGACAAGATTGAATTTAGTACAGATACACCAGGAAATGAAATTGAAATTCCTTTACGTTGATCAGAGTGAGTGTGTAGACCACCCGACCACTTAACTTATGAATAAATCTTTTGCCGATTTCCTTAAATCAAATAAGCTTATAAAGGTGATATGTAAAAATTGAAATAAATCCTGCTAGAATCTTTCTTTAATATTGATTGACTAACTGCTTCTATTTCTAGAAGTAAGAGAGATTGTTGCAAACATTCCGACTCCCCCACCTCTTGTCAAAAATGAACTGTGCCTGTTTATAAGTAGTTTTGTTGTAATATTTTATTGTATGGAATGAAGCCTAATTTGGGTTACTCTGTTCTGTGTCTTTCATGACACACATGCACTTATTAATATATATATATATATATATATATATATATAGATAGATAGATAGAGAGAGAGAGAGAGCAATATGGAGACTAGATTACATACAAGTCTGTCTTTCTCTAAGTTTCAGGTCTTTTCAGGAAGTAGGCAGCCATGGGTTTTTACAGCCATCCATATTTATGTGGACATTACTATGATTGTGGAAGAGTGGGGAATGGGGAATTGGTTCTCTATTGCCTTCAGTATACAGAGCAACACAGATTTATATATAACCCATTGAAAAACAGGGTCCAATCTTTATTATTTAAAAACATACTATATAAATATTAATAGAGTATGTACTTAAATATACTTATACATCAATAAATCTGTATCCTAACTGTAACTTTATTTTCAACAATCTTTCTTTGTCAATACACTTAACCAAATTCTTCATTGATCACATGAATGTAACATTAAAAAGTAAAAATCTCACATCAGAATTCAGCTAAGTCACCCACAAAAATCTGACCAAACATTTCGAATCTCTTCTTGGCTTATCAGCACCTCCTCAGCATATCACTCACACCCTAAAGCTATGCATCAATTAAATAGTTGATAACAGCCTGATTTTGCAATCTTTGACAAACAGTGAGTGAATGGCTGAGAAATTCCTTGTTTAGAAAAACATCTTTCACATAGGTTTACATCATAAATGGCAGAGAGAAAAATAAAATAAATAATGGAGAAGGGATGTCAAACAAACAATTTATTATCAGGAGAGACATTTCCAGAGAATATTTGATGAAAATGTTAAAGCTATTATACACACAATAATATATATATATATATATATATATATATATAACAGGACAACATTCAGATTTCTTTTTACCAATAAAAGGTGGGTTTACACATGATAATGGCTTAAGAGACATGTGCAATTACCTATGAAATTGTGTATGCATATTTTATATTTATCTCCATCCATAATACATGTGGCAATAAAAGTTACAAAACAAGAAAGTAAAAGAATTATTAGCTGTGAATTTGTTTCATGGCAGATTGACTGCTCTAAAATGGTTTCATATTGCCAAACCATTTTTATTTCTCCATCTACCTGCCTATTTTTGGAAATCATTCCAACTTTTGAAAATTTGCCCAAAATTGACCAAGAAATCAAAGAAAGTATTCAGCTTACTGAAATGTTATATAGCATTTCCTGTCACAAATATTCAACCAGGAGCAAACAGATGTATTCTGAAAGTCCACAAGGTAGGTAAATGATGGTGGTTCAAAACATAGCATCCTAACTAATAATTGTATTTTAATAACTGGCTATATCAGCCACATACCATAACAGTTACTAAGTGAAGAATGAACCCACTATGGAATCGGCTCTAAGCTAGAACATTCCAGAATCAGTGCACAGATAATGAGCTTTGCTTAACAAGCAGGTATTTGTTCTATTTTACTAACTTTATTGTAACTATTTACACTATTCAGACTATTGACTTCATTGTCATATTTAGACACA